CTAGTCAAGAAAAAACTTTGAATCCACTGGACGTTGTCGAAGTTCATTTTTTTGGAATTGGCACATCACTATCCACCGTTCACGTCGAATACAGTCAAGGAACAGGGTGTTCAACAGTGCGCCAGTTGAGAGTGGTAGCGCCTTCCTCATTCCACTGCAACATCAGGGACGTTCCCACAATCGGGAACCCTTTTTTTCATAAACATACACACCTCTGTGTCCAAACATTACGAATTCACGCTCCCTCCAACACCAGTCTCTCCCCAATAAATACCCACCTGTCCCATTTTTCACTCTGCACACTTTCACCTCCGCGTTCCGATACCAACTTCTTTGAGCGACCTGATCAACCACCAAATTCACTTCTAACATGTCTCTGCACTCTGGTATGTCGTTGCCAAACTGTATCTGCTCCAATAACTGACCCACCAGATCTCCCCGTATGCAATCCTTGCGGATCCTTCTTCAAGAATGCCACCGAACTGCAGAAGCACTGGCTTACAGCACCCCCACACAATCCTCTCCAAATCTGCCCCTACCCTACATGCAAGGCCGCCGGCTTTAAGACTTCCGCTGCGTTGCTCAAGCATATCAGCAACTGCGACAAGTACACTCCCGATGTACTCACATGCGATCACTGCATAGTGTATCTTCGCGACGAAATGCATCGACAACAGCACTTGGAATCGCCGGAACACATGAAGATCGTCCGCCGCTGCAAGACCTGTGTCCTCGATTTCGACACCATCATGGACCGCCGAAAGCATACTTTGCGGAAGCTCTGTTATCCCCCAGACACTGAGAAGTGCCCCCGATGCAATGAGCGTTTCTATGTCACAGTTCTGCCCGCGCACATCGAGTCATGTCGCTCTCCCAGAGCCAAGGAGATCAAAAAAGAAAAACGGATAGAGATCAAGCAAGAGAAGAAACAAAGATGGCAAGAGTACCAGGCCGAAAAGGCATCGCGATGCCCACCAAGGAAGCCCCCAGGCGAAAGAGAGTGGAGAGACTTTACGATGCCTGAAAGAGGCACACGCTGGAGGCCGCCTCCTAGAAAGAGCCCTCAGCAGTTTGCTCCCGGCCATCCAGGTCCATCTCAGCACGCTCCACAGACACAGCAGCCTGCCTGGCAACCTGAACTTTCTCAGAACCCTCCTATGGACGCGCAGTCTTCCCAGCCACAGACTCCTCCTCGGCTTCCTAAGGGGCCACAATATGCTTGTCAACAAGGTCCTCGTCGGCAATCACCCAAAGCTGCTCAACCTGCGCGGTCACCTCAGCAGTCTCCAAGAGGACCTAAGTCTTCTCGCAAGCCAGGAACTCCTCAAAAGTCTTCCAAGACAGCCCAGTCTCCGCAGCAAGAAGGGCCATCTCAAAACGCTCCCAAAGGGCCGCAGTCTCCTCGACAGCAAGATTCACCTAAGAAGTCTCCCAAAGCCGTAAAGCCTGCCGGCAAACAAGGTCCGCGCAAGCCTCCTCCGCATCGGCGCCCACAGGGACCTGTCACACCTCCCAAGAAGCCCATCAATCCCTTCGCCGCCACCATTGAAGACGAAGCCGAAGATGAAACCGTAACCCCCCCTTTTCCAAAATCTTTTCCATGCTAACAACCATAGGTGACTAAATACGAAGGCGCCGAAATCCTCGTCGGCAACGAAGCCGAAGTCACAGCGACCAAGATCCGCACCGTCGAGGCCCCCCTCATCGACCTCGAAAGCAGCCCTTCCACCCCAATCACCCCGTCTTCGAGCATCCGCTCCACCCGCTTCGATGACCTGGACTCTCTCCCCACTTCCCCGGGATTGTCATCGAATTCGTCGGTCTCTGGGTCGGAGCCTTCGCCTGCTGGTGTTACCGCTGGTAAAGAGAGCATGCAGAACAAGACAAAACAGTTTTCGACCTCTGAAGATGAAATGTGGAATGCCATGTGGAGGAATCTTGAGAATGAATTGAGGATCTATGATGAGGAGTTGAAGGTCGGTAATTTGTTGTAGCTGCTGTTGCTCGGCTTTGTGATGCTCGTTTGTCTTGTCTTGTCTTGTTTTTCTTGTCTTCATTCCTTTTCCTTTTTTTTTTTTGTCGTCTTGCTTTCTTTTTCTTTTTGCTTTTCGTTTCTTTTGCTGTGCAGGCTGGCCGGATCAACGCTTGCACGCTGGCACACTTGAGCGCTTGAGCGGGTTGAAAAAATTTGATCATGGCATGGCATGGCACTGCATGAAATGGAATGGTTACTATGATGGACTTGTATTTGTATTTGGAGTTGGATTTGCGGCTGGATACTTAATGCTTGATGCTTGTTACTTGGTGCTTGATATACTGGTAGTAATAGCGCTTAGTGCTTAGTGCATAGTAAAGACACTTGGAATCAATTGAAGTATTACAGGAGTTGAGTTGAGGTGGTCAAAGTTTGCGTGAGATGGATGACTCCCGCGGCGTGCGATCGGTTGCTTCACACAGAGAAACAGAACAGGAGGATCAATGGTTGGGCACAAGTAGAGCGTCGAGAGAGCAATGAATCGTCGAGGGTGCAGCCGGATAGAGATGACAAGGAAATAGGAGGATCAATTGTCGGGCACAAATGCAGCGTTGAGAGGGATGAATTGTGGAGTGGGAAGCCAGTTGCGGGGAGCGAAGCGAATTTAAGCTTCGGTCAGGATCACATAACCTCACTCAGACCGCGCTGACACATCCTGCCAGCCAGATTCTTTATGGTAGTCTCGAACCACACATCTTAGCTCGGCACACATGTTGGGAGGTGCACCGGATTTGCTGCCAGCAGGCCTGTTCATCGTGTGTCATCGAAAGGTACATCCGCAAAATTCCCCACGGTGAATGACAGATGGGTGCAAACCGCTCCTGTAGCAGAAGTGGGCGGCCGATGGAAATCATGGGTCGACAACTATGTGGGGCCATTGGGGAACATTGGGGCATTGCGGTACGTGGGAGTGATGACTCGAGGGCCTCTGGAATGAGCTACTGGTAGGCTGGTCAGAAACAAACACGTTGGTGAAAGTAAAGTCTACCTTAGCGATGGGCGGCCGTTTTCCTCAATAATCACCTGAGGGAGTTCACGGCCTCTGATGAGCACATGATTCTTAGCAGTGTGCAACGGCCCTGTGACTATATTCATTGCTCAATACCACAGTGAACAATTGTGGTTACTCCGCTAACTGGTCGGACAGAGCAGGTAATAGGGCAGATCGAGTAAAGTTAAAAATCTAGTCTAGGGTCTGATAGCGACGCTGAAACCTAGACGCGATACTACGTTTTGTTGATGGAGTTTAGTGATGCCGGCCAAAGACGCGACGTATAGTGCAGTATAGCGCAAGTTAAGGCGAGAAACGGCTCGCATGATTGAATACCGACAGAGACGATGATACGCCGTGAACAGACCAGCCACAGGCACTCCACGCTGAAGATAACCTCCTCACCTCTACAGTACCCAGCCCTTCCCTCGAGTCCCTCTAGCCCAACAAACTTCGCCACTATCATCAGCACAATCTCAACAGAGCCGAACCAACGCCTCCCACAATACAGCTCCATCGTCCCCAGATTCAGTAGAGAGAGCAATTTACGCACTAGTACTCCACCAACCGTGTTTCGCATTCAAGGTCGAGAGATGCCACTCACATTCTCTTCGACTCGATCTGGCCTTGTAGGTCAACTGCTGGTGGTTATCATATGCTAAATTATTTATCCAATTCAGCTTCATTCTCGCTGTTCAGGATTTTCGGAATCCGAGAATGAGTGTGCTTGCAGCTCGTGTTTGACACCCATAGGCCGATTCGACATCCCCGATTGAAAGGAAAGCGGACAACAAACAGATATGATGAGGCATTTTCTTGCGTCGACCAATGAGAGACGAGTCAAGTGAGAGTAGAGAACCAGAACGGACAATGCGAAGTAGGTAGACTATGGTGCAGTTTGTCGAAACAGTTGAGTGGACAAGTCGCCGTGAAAAGTAGCGGGATCTGGCGGTGACGTTATCACAAATACAAAAGTACATACTAGGGAGGGACAACAAATGGGCGTACAATTAAGCAACAGCGAGCACACAATGCTGTGGTTTTCTGATTCTGGATGGCGCTAAGTTGATCATGTCGCAGCTGAGGAATACGATTTTTGTTCTAGCGGAAACGTGACCAGTTCGTCTTGTAGTATACCCAGCAATTTCGATTCACGATTCAGGTTCCAGCAGAGAGAGAAGCTGTCGGTGATCAAGTAGCCGTATTCCGTGAGCCACTGATACCGGAACCCGAGCGTAAGAAGCGCTGCAGCGACCGCAAGCGGTCCGATAGTACTCATGGATGAGGAATGAGATTGGTGTCTGGGTCATTGTTTGCTCTGGCAGGGTATATACTAGAGACCATTCATATCGGGAAGAGATCTACTTTGCCATGGCGCGGAGGGTGTGTTTGCCTACCGATTCTATATAGTCCCAAGCACGACCGATGGGACTTTGGGCTGTGGAAAGGATTTCCCTGATGGCGATCACGGATCCTGTCAAGCCCCTTCACGATTCCGTGTATCATACGTGGTGATTGATGACAGCATTCACCGGCGAGACGAAAGTTTGGTTTGGAGTAAAAGAGACAGTGTGATATGCGGACCGAAGGACGTGTGTCGTCGAAGAGTATTAGGTTGGCGGGTGTTGCCGTTACTAGGGAATGATTAGAGGTTATGGGGCGAAGGAGAGGTGGGAACGAACCGGATGATGTGGTGTCATGAAGATGAAATTGGGAGGAGAGAGATGTGGGAGGGAGAAGAGAAGATGGTAGACGTGGAAGAAATGGGAATAGGGTCCGTGCGTGAGATTGCTGGGGGATCAAACCGATGTGGACGGTTACGGAGGGACGTCGATACCGTCGAGTTGAAAGGTGGGGTGGGGCAAAGGTGCGTGTAGAAATGGGAGAAGGGGTGGATGATACAGAAGGTGTCTGCGAACTCAGCATCCGTGAGCAGACAACATCAAAAGAGCAGGAGGAAGAAAAAAGCAAAATAGGTCATCACGGGACTCGAACCCGCAACCTTGTCTTGACAACTCATAGGAGAGACACGCGCTACCATTGCGCCAAACGACCTTCCATTTCCTGAGCTTCAGGAAATATATCTTATGAGTGTTTTATTTCTTGCACTCCAACATAATGTTTGACAAACCGGGTACATGAGGAATGGGGGTGGGAGGAAGAGTATGGAGTGGAGGAGGATATGAGCACATAGTAAAGCAAGGGAAGAAGAAACCGGTAGATGCAGGAGAGTCTAAGTGCACAGCAGTGTACAGCTCAAAAGGCGGCCACTGCAAAGGCAGCAAGGCCGGCGAGAAAATGGTTGAAAACGGATGAAACAGAGTTTTCGAGTAGATGCAGTACGGCACTGCGGAAAGGGGACGCTTTGTATGTTAGTTCTCGCGCCATATCCCAAAGGGACGCATGCGCTTAAATGATTACAAACAAAAACAAACAAAAAATAATGTTTGACAAAAGTCCACCAAGGTAGACCCAACAGCGGCAAAAGCTCGGAAAAAAGTCGCTCTTCAAAGCTACAGGTTCGCGGCAGACCGCGCAGTCACAGCGGTCTACTTAAAATCGATAGGAAAAAGAGACAGTGACGAATGCTGGTGGTGCGACAGACCCCGCCAGACCCGCGACCACCTGTTCAAAGAGTGTAGAACATGGAGAAGGGAGCAAGAGGGGCTCTGGAACGCGCTGAAGAAAGACGGGTTCACGAAGATGCATGCAATGGCAACAATCTTCGCAGAACCGAGAGCCACTCCGGCGATCCTAAAATTCATCGAGGAAACGCTCGTGGGCAGGCCAAAAACAGAGGAAGAGGACAGAGCTGAAGAAGAGCGGGTGCATGAGGGATGGGGTTGGGAGAGAGAGAATGAGGGGGTAGAGGAGGAGAGGTGAGCATAGAAAAGCAAGGGAAGAAGAAACCGGTAGATGCAGGAGAGTCTAAGTGCACAGCAGTGTACAGCTCAAAAGGCGGCCACTGCAAAGGCAGCAAGGCCGGCGAGAGAATGGTTGAAAACGGATGAAACAGAGTTTTTTCGAGTAGATGCAGTACGGCACTGCGGAAAGGGGACGCTTTGTATGTTAGTTCTCGCGCCATATCCCAAAGGGACGCATGCGCTTAAATGATTACAATCAATCAATCAATCAATAATGTTTGACAAAGGTATGCGGAAAGGGGACGTTTTGTATGTTAGTTCTCAAAGGGACGCATGCGCTAAAATGATTACAAACAAACAAACAAACAAACATAGTGTTTGTCATTCTTACTGTCCACGTTTCCCTAACAATCCTGGAGAGGAGAGACCGCTCCCATTCTTCCTACCACCCTTGTCCTATCCTCCTCCCCATTTCGTCTCTCTTCTCCTCCAAGTCTCATACCAATCTGCCACTCACACCCCTCCCAGTTCCTACTATCCCGACCCCTCCTCCTCACCCTGCGGCATCTATTCCCAGTCCGTGTACCCTCAATCTCCCCTTCACCGCGCCCTTCCCCCATTCGCGTCTTCCTCCAACCAGAGGTGTTTCCTGCATCCAGTGTAGTGAGCTATCCATGTTTCCGTGCTGGTTTCGTTCGGATGTGGCAGCACCAGTGCTTGCAGCTACTGTTCTGGGGCTGAAGAGGCCTGAGGCCGGACCTGGTCAGGTAGCTAGGGGTGGACGTTATAGGGTGGTGAGGTATGCGCAGTGTGCAGAGTATATGTATATCACCCCGGCGGGTGGCATGGCGGGGATTCGGAAGAATTCGCCTGGGATGTTTCCAAAGAAGATAATGTGGGAGAGCGCGGCGAGGGAAGTGGTAAAAGCTGTGGAGAATTCGAGGTTTTTGTGATATTCTCGTTCTTTCCGTATCACTACACTATTTTCAAGAAAGGTCGCGTGGGTACATAGCCGAATAATCTGGTGTTGGATCTTCCTCTTGGGCGGTAGTGGCATCCGGCACTCAATCTAGGCCTCCCGAAGATCTCTCTCAAACTGCTCTCCAGTTGGTTCTCTATTATTCCATTGTGTGGTATCCGCTGCCGTGAATCGCAAGACTTCAATGACTGCCTCCTTGATCTTAGCGGCTCTATTTCGGCGCCATGCCTCAAGAAAGGTACCCCTCATGTTGTTGAAGTCTGATATCTTGTAAAGGTGGGGTGTTGGTAGCTACTTGTCCCGGTATGGGTAATCGGCTAGTCGTGGCTCACTGATGAAGGTGGGTAAGTGAAGCCCGAAGCTATTGGAGGCCTGTGTGATGATAAAAAATCGGGTCTCCAATTTACCGCCGCAAGTATATCTTTCCAGAAGCAAATTCTCAAAACTCTACATGGCATTTTGTTGTGGAGGGTATATTATTCTCGCAACCGTGTCCTTTTTCATTCCTTGAGCGAATGGCCGGTAGCGGCGACGATCTTTAGGGTGTCAAAGGGTACCAGGCGCAAAAAATAGATCCATGGGGCCTCAGGCGCCATACATACCGGTCCATCAAGATTGTCTATTGCCGTTGATGCCAGGATGGTATCAAGGAGTGGGAGGGGCGTAAATCCAGCGGGAGGTAAAACTTACAGCCCGAGCATCGGCGAGCCATAAATGGTGGTGTTCGAATAGGGAGCCTTTCGTGGTGTGATAGAATCGGATGGGGAGATTGGTGGGTAGCTGATGTTCGAGTAGCGAGCGAATCGCTGTTAGGTTACGGAGCGAAAAGTGGATGAGCCACAGCCAGGAACACATAACATCGCTCATGTTGACATGTCGGCACAGGCTTAGCGATGTGGGTGTTGAACTCCGTATAATTTCGCAATGATGAGTGTCGAAGAGGCAGGCTAGACTACTACGCCAGCAAAACGCATGGTGTTGGTCATGGAGTCGGAGAAGTGTTGTAACGGCCGTGGAGTCTTCGAGGTGTCGTCAATTTTGCGGTGTGGATGTGTGTCGGCTGGTATGTTGGGCTGGGATGGGGAAGTTTGGAAGTGGTGGAGTGTGGAGGAAAGTGGAAGGTGAATGGAAGATGGAACTGGAAGGTGGAAGGTCGGAACGAGAGACGAGTTCGGTTCGTATCACTCGCAAGCGGGCACTGAGAAACCACAGCCTTTCCGCTCGCTTCATTCCACCCACCATCCCCGCATCATCCGCCTTCGCTTCTTCCACATGGCGCCTCGCTTACCCCAAACCATACTCCCTCTATCTTTGCGACGACGAACCCACATCTACTTGGAACTATACCCATCACTCGCCAACAATTGGCTCACTCTCCGTATTCTATACCATCAGACGGTAAGCATTCACACTTCAACCCCACTTACCTGACAAACACCGGATACTGATACCACTCTGGCGAAAAGTAAAAGGCGGATTCACGTTCACAGCGGGGGCAACTTCACGACTCATCGAAACTCCGCCATTTCCCCATCGTCAAGTACCTTTGGGTGAAGAACATTTCAACCACCACGATGAAGTCCATGCATCGTCGTTTAGGCACATACAGTTCGAAGCGCCACCGCTGAACGACCGATGGAGCCCAACAGTCAAAGAAATCCCTCACCGCTCTCCTAGGGATTTAGACAAACTTCGAAACAAACCGGCGACGCCTCCAAGTCTGAGATCAATGGGGATGTCTTCTGAGGTACAGTTTTTCACCCAACAATTTCTAATGGTCATTCATTTGACTTTGGAACAGATATCGTCCCACACTATTTCCACAATATCCACCAACGCGGACAAGATTGGTTCCCCCAGCCCATTCGGACGGTCTCTTGGGCGACCGATCTGATGATTCGGTGCGTACTTGAAAATCCCGCTCACTCTTGCCTTCTGCTGACCTTGAAGAACTAATGTGATTATCCGCATCAGCGGCCAACTCCAACGTCATTTCCTCTGCAGACGGATTAAGAAGCAACCGAGGCGGGGCAGTACTGCCTTCAGGGGAGAATTCTGAAGCCATCCGCTTCAGGTGAGGCAAGAGGCAGTGGCCTTTTTCCGCCGACCATGAGCTTATCAGGCTTCATCTTTTCGGCGAAACAGAGGAACGCAATAGAGCCAAAGTGGTTACAGTCCCCGAATTTCTATTCCTTGCTTCTCCCGAATTCAGACTCTTCATTGCAGACGCTATGTTTCCTGAACTTTGAACGTTGGGACCTGTTGGACTTGAACAACTCGTGCGACGCCCTTTGGGGATTCGACTACAAGGAACAGGGGTTGATGGTTTCGGCCTGCACCGAAATATGTACCGCTCGGCTCTGGAAGCCTCGTTTACACCATGGTCGCCCTGATAAAGCGATCAATCTCACTTGCCCAACACCTATCGTCTTTCTTTCTGGCGCTGTGGGTCACAAAATGCCCGTGTCTGGATGGAGACGCGGTACCATGTCCTACGATTGTCAACGCCAGGATGCCACGACTACGTCAGGATTTACTGGGGATATGGTTCAACAAGCAAAAAACATGGGGTTTCTGCGCTATAATGCAACATTTGGATACCGTGTCAGTTGCTGAATATACGCCTTGATGATATTACACCTGGCTGGTATCGTTATCAGTCGGCGACCAAATCCAGAGACTGGGCCGATCAGATGTATTCCCACTCGCGCTGGGGAACGAGTTTATCAAAGACGCACCCAATGAAACTTTATCTTGAAAAATATAGCATTCACGGTTCTACGCAGAACTCTCTCTCTCCGACACCGGATGGCATGAACTCTCTACGAAACCCCAGAAAAGAAAGGCAGAATCTCGATCGGTGGTGCGATAAACTAATCAATTCATGGTCTGAACGGTGAGCCAAGTGGAAACCATTCACTCCAAACCATGATTCACGCACGCAGATCATCGGTGGCCAACACAAACCTCAGAGGTGTAGTGCCAGTATCCATTGCAACGGCTATCCAACATCTAATCCCAAGTTCAGTACCTGAGGGGTCGACATTAACCCAGCGCTCTTCTACCACGCGGATTGAAATACGTGAGATTTCGTATAGATATGTTGGAAGCAAAGTGTTACTAACTCCTTTAGACAACGTGCCAGTTTCCTATCCTTATCATGATCCTCATGATGTTACATCACCCTTTCCCCGCGAGTTCAAGTCTTTGGT